TTGGGAACAATATCTGACAAACACGTATGGATCAAAGCGCCAGCCTCCCCATTGAGCGCCACAATAGGTGTGCATTAGAGTGTGCGGAAAACCACTAGGTGTGTCAGAGAGAGGATTATATCTGATAAATCGATATTTGACAGAAAAAATGTCACCCACATCTTGTCGCTAATTTAAGTAATAATTATTTCCATCCTTCACCAAATACTCCGTCTTTAGAAATATTAATATTTGTTTAGTTGCGAGAAATCGAAACGCTCGTTTCTTTTCATCTTTCCGTGCAACGCATCAACGATTCTTTAGATACGGTAAACAATTATTAAAAGTCGAAAAGTGTGAAATAAAATTATAAATAAATTTGAAGTGGATGTTGGTGTATGCAATAACGCATTTGGCGAGAGGGGTTATTGATCGTTGTTTTTTTCTCTGTTTGTCGGTGGCCATAGATGATAATAAGAACACACAGTCAATTGAATTGAATGCATGTTTTCAACACCGATAACACGTTGTAATATTGATGTGCAGACAGATGTCTGCGTACTGAGCTAGAGGGCTAAACCAGAACCAGCTTATTTGAGGAAATATGTGGTAATTCTAAATTCATTTTTAATATCCAAGAGGTCTCGGCAGTCGATACACAGTGATTGAATTTCGTGTAAACAAACAAATGCGTTTCACACGCGATGTATACGTCGAACATTGACATAAATGCAGTTCTCATTGACTATTATAAAAAAAGATGGATTACGTAAAAACCCCAGAATTACAAACACCCTTTTAGCCATGATTCGATAAAAGCAAAATAACTAAAACTGAGCATTCCCAAATAAAGTGTAATCATTTAATTAGAACTTCTTGATCCTTCTATAATTGTATCATTGAATCTGTTTTTCGTATTTTTTTCTCATTAAATATAAATGTTTTGTCTTTTTTACTATGTTATATTCAAGTTTCTTGTCACTTGTTCACCGAATCTGAGTCTTCTATTAATTTCATCATTTTTGTATTGAATCTGGGAAACTCATCACTTTTTCATTGATTTTTAGCCTCTTATTACCTCCATCACTTATGTATTGAATATAAATATCTCGTCACTTACATCACTTTTTCATTGATTCTGAATTCCTTGTCACTTCCATGCTGTTTTGAGGAGTATGTGCTTTACATCGGTGACAAGCTTTGTGGAAAAAAAACTTGATAAAAAATGTCTATTTTGTCGACGCTGGTTAATTTTTTTACTATCACTTCTCTCTAAAACGCGTGTTTAGTTCAAGACAATGTAAACTCTAATTTACAGTAAGTAAAATAAGCTGAGAGCTCTTAAATAATTGGTTGGCTTAATACAAGTAAATTAATCTTGTTTTTGTTTTTGTCTCACCACCGTATACCAGACAGCGTTTGTCATGTACTTTTTTTTCCAGGGGGAATTTTGTCATCTGCTCTGTATCTTTTTCTTTATTTCGGAATAAAAAAAAATGTTATTAACACAAAAAAAAAATAAAAAAAATAAGCTGAGTCTAATTTACACCCAATTTATTTAAATTGTGGAATATCATGTTATGCTGCATGTGTGTGGAAATAAATACTGGTGACAGATAAAGCAGAGGACACTCGTGTGATTTATCTACTCCCACATTCTGCGAGGGATTACTTGTGTGCTCATTTGATTTGCGTATACTGTAAAACATGTTGAAAACGCGACATGCGATTTTAGCGAATTGTAGTAAAATGACGTAATAGCGAAATGTTGATTTAGCGAATCTCTCTTATCATTGTTGATTTACTGTTTTCACAATACTAGTCTGTCGCGTGCCAAAACAAATGCGCAGTTATCACCTCCATAAAAACAAAGAAAAACTGTCAAGTGTAATTAGGAAGCGCCTCAGATTTTTATATTCCGGATTACTGTATACAAGTCCCCAAGCCTTGGCCATTTTAAATTTATAATAAAGTCATTAGCGATATCTTGAATTAGCAAATCAGTTCACTCACTAAATTCGCTAAAAAGACATGTTTTATAGTATTTCGATAACTGTGCATATACTTACAGAATGTTTATGGGAATGTAATAATCGTATTGTACATTGCAAGAAAAAAGTAGAACTCAAAATATACAAATATACTCATATTTTAGGTAAGTCTAAATCAGTTCTGATTGTGCTCTACTACAACTCTCAGTAAAGCATAACAATTTCTACTCTCTCGTCGACATTTTATGCATAAATTAATAGGCCATAATCCGTTCACTGCGAGATCCCGCATCATGCGTGAAATCAAATGCAGAACATGACAATCGAATGATAGCGTCGTAGTGGCGTCAAACATCGCGTGGGATTCGACAAACGCGAAAGTATTTATGGGTTTTTCCACGCCGAATAATGTGCTGTACACATTTGATGATGGTCAATTTTGGTGAAGTACGTCAAAATTCTGAAATAAAAATATATAGTCACAAAACGACATCGAAAAATTACCAAAAATACGTGTTTTGAGTAGTTTACATATTTTATTGTTCTTATGCGTTTCAATATCGCTCAAAATTTGTGTTATGGTGCTACATATGGCTGTAACAAAAAATTGGAGAATTTTGAATATTATTAAGTATCAATAGAATAATGACTGTGTTTACATGAAAAATGTTCCAAAATGGCTGCTTTTTCGATTATTGTGCATAAGTTTTCTTGGAGACACATCCTCTCTCTCCGTGAAAACGTTTTTATGTCCTATGTGAATCACCACGCAACAATTTTGAATGATATACCGTGACGTGATCAATTCTATGTTTTAATGGCAGAGAATTATCTCAAATGCGGAAAATAAATGAATTAGAAGTACATTTATATCAACTTTCTAATTCAAAACCAATTTGAAAGGCATAGAGGGCGTTCCAGTGTAAATTATAACGTTACAACATTCATTGGTGTTGTGAATTTAAATTAACGTATTTATTACTGCTGTTAATTGTACTGTTATTTGAAAAGATTTGTTCACGCAGGTGTAAGTTACCGACATTTAATGACACAGTGTTGGTGATAACAGTATATATATTCCAATGGTTGGAACTACGTGACACGAATATGAGACACTTTTCATGTCTATTAAAAATGGCAATCGAATACAGCATCGCAGCATCGGCCAAGCCTAGTCGGACACTTTTAATCAGGTCATTCAGTGAAACAAATCTCGTCCAGTGGTTTTCAGTTGGTCTCCGCATCAAATCTTGGCGTTTCACCTGGGTCCCGGATGAGAGAGGGGATTGACCGGTCAGAGATACGCATGTGCGTTCTGAATTTTGTGCACAGAGTGACATGGTGACGGAGACAAAAAGAACGTGTTTTGATTTTTCCGAAAGTCCGCATATTATTGAACGGGGGATTTGTATTCGAAAAATCAGTGGAAAGAGGTTGTTTTTGATTTTGCAGAACACTTAAATGTCCTACTCATACCATCCAAAGGCCGCCTCCCGGGCCCCGGTGGGCACCTCTCGACTATGAGACAACCTCTACAATATCGCTAATCGGTTATTGTACTGTATACTGATGTTAATGGCTGTATAAATGCAAATAAATAAATGTTGGATCAGGCAAAAGTTAATTTTAAATAATGAAATAGCGATCTTGATTTGATATTTCGTTCATAAAATTACGAACTTGCCAATAAGAAAGAATTTGAATATTACAATAATGTTTATTTCGCCGCCGTGATGTTGGCATGGCAATACTGAGAGGAGGAAGGCGCTATCTTATTTTGAAGAGTTTGGGTGCTTTTAAGGATGTGTGTTCGATTTTGGGAGTTGATATCATCATATGTTATTGTTGTTGCGTACTCGTTGTAAGAAAATGAACTTTGCAACGCCAGTGTTCTTTGAGTTACTGATTAAAAGTGTACTGTTTTTATTTTATATTAATCCATGTAATATTCAGTTAAAATGCTCGTTATGTTATCAAATGAACACACACATATGGGCTGAAACTTTAGAACGTTCGGGCTTAATATTCATAATACGTGGGTCGCGATGTGTGCGCGCCTAAGTCAAAATCGCCAATAAACTCTTCTAACCAATTCGTGAGTTTAGTTTGGTGTTTTTTTTTGTTTTTTTTTCAAACGTGCTGAAATTATTATGCGGACACCAAAATAAATTGAACAGTATATTATGTGTCAGAATAAAATCACAAAAAATAACCTATTTGATATATCTATGTCATTTTCACTTCGCCGTCTAGTTAATTTATCGACCCATGATTCTAACGGAAAACCTCCCCGTATTTGCTTCCCTAATCTATACTCAAAGTTTTAGCTTTTATTAAATTGTTCAATAAATTTGTTAATTCCCGTGAATTGGTGTTAAGTGTGTGTTGAATTGTTTACTATGGGAAGTCTTAGCGGAAATTGCTTGTTATGGAACACTCGATCATGCCGCGATATCGACGTGCTGATGGATACGAGATCGAGGCTGTCACGACGGACCAATCACATCGAAGCATGCTTTTAACCCATTGTTGGTGTCGCGTTACTGGTGCAGCCCAGCCGTTTGATTTGCAGACAATAATGTATTTAATATAAGCGAAAATGATGATTATTAACATTTTTTATGGTCAAATGCAAAACAATGCTGCTTTTCTATTTGTTATCTATTAAACATTATCGATTTAGGGCAGGGAGTTTTTCCGTCGGTTTGGGAGTTTTACACATAGCAATGATGTATGCAAAATAGGGCTAGGTTGGAAATCATTCTGCGAGTACCCTTCACTTCAGTGAGCCGTAAGACATCATTATGCATCGTTAACGATATCTCCATTTACGTTGCTTCTCAACATTTTTTATCTACACTACAGTTTTTATTTCTGGCAAAACGTGAGGGGACCGTGTGTAACAGCATTTGATCGAAGTTCTAAACGGTGACACTTCAGACGCAAGTTTTATAAAGCTGACAGAAAAAAAACGAATATCGAAGACAAAAACAACTTTCATAAAATACTTTGTGAATGAAAGTTACTACAATGGAATCCATAGAAGTACCGAGTACATCTTCAGCTTTTTCACCGATAGCGCCGAATAACTCAAATTCAAACGATGTGAGAGCGGCAGAGTCGGAAGACAAACCAAACTTTTCAATTGACAGCATTTTGAACTTCAATGCAGAGAAAACACCGACACATCCAGCAGAACATGCATCTCCTGCGTCTTCTGTTTCGCCGGGACCGAGCCCAGAGATGGTGATCAGACCCACGACTATAGTAGGTGGTATGAGTACACTAGCCGGTATGTCGGCGAACTATGGCTACGCGGCGCCCACGGGTTACGCGTACAACTACGGGAACCAGGCCTTGAGTAGCTGGCCGTCTTGGATATATGCCACGCGGTATACCAGACCGCCTCTACCAGGTAAGAAAATAAACCTATTGTTTTATAATAATTTTTATAATTCGTGGATTCAGATTTTTTGTAAATTTTTTTTGCCAGGAGAATGACTTTTTTTACTAACACCACTATACTATTTTTAAACTCGAGATGTCAATTTTTATTCCCCATTAACAACTTTCGAAAAATCGTAATGTTAGACCGGTAAATCGGATGAAATGCGACAGTTATATACTAGTAATCGCCCCGTTATTAATTTGCAAAGTGAATTATTATTTTTTGGTGGGTTGGTGATGTTATATAAAATAACAAGGAATAGTTAAATAGCTTCAACGTTTCCGTGATTCTGTTTTCCCGGTCGTTTAGTTTTCTTCGCGTCCTCTTGTCAGCAATATCGTGTCGCTTTTGAACCACCTGCTTGTTTTGACAGAACTTTGAATAACGTCAAAATATATCATCATTTATTTATTTATTCAATTTTAAGTTGACATGCCAAGTGATGTTCAGTTGTATCAAGGAAACGCAATTTTCCGCAATAAAAGATAGAAGTGTTTTTATGCAGTGTTTTCAAACTTCAGCATGGTCTTCTAGACGCCGGTGTATAGGGTGTCGTGGTAGAAGAACGAATACAACATAACGATTTTTAATGCGTTACTTATGAGGAAATGATGTTTTTTTTAAATTGTATTTAGATAATGCACGTGTGTTGTGGAGGTTGTTCCTCGCAATCGTTATATATATATATATATATTATATTATATTTATTTATTTATTTCATTCATTCATTCATTCATCATCGTCTTGTAGCTCGTTCGAATTACGTGTAAACAGACAATCAATTCCCTGTAAGTAGGCAAATTAAAAATCGTGACTGAAAGAGGACAATTTTGAAATAATGTAAGTCACGGGACTCGATGGTTGTGTATGTCTAGTTTTTTTACCACACACATTAATAACATCATGCCGTGATGATGATGGGTGAATTTAACATCAACTCATTAACAACTACTAAAAAAATCGGGACATTTTAGCAAGTCGGTCCAATATTTTGCAGTGGAGCGTGAATCCATTTTATCGACATGTATTGAATGTTTTCACCAACTCGACTTAATTACCGACACCACATTATCAGTCAGCGGACGTCTCTTAGTTCGGCTTCAATGAAAAACTTGAAACGCCGCAATTGGGCAGTTTTTTTCGGACTATGTTAACATAATTATGAGAAAGAATGTTTATCTGTTAAAATTGACATCCTCTCCATAACATATAAACATTATCTTCAAACCTCTGGAAGTCGCACACACATCTGAGAAGCATCATGGTTTTAGAATTGTTTTGCAATGTTGGAAAGTGAAAAGAAAAATAGCCCTCGGGGCCATTATTAGATCCTGGTAGCGTCATCGTCATTTTCAATTCATATCTTAGTAATATTTGTATTCCGATCAATTAAAAATACGGCATAGTAATTATCAACGACTTGACAGTCCTGTGAGAAGCAGCACATGCCAATGAATGAAATAGCTGGCAGCGAAGCTTTGTCATTTTGACTTTAAAAGCTAAAACGACACTAAGCTACTCTCGTAGTATATGGTCTCTGTCGCCTATTTTTTTTCAATAGTTTACACGCGCTATTGATCGTCATGTCTTGCCGTGTAATGATATATTGTTCGCGGCGTGTGTTTAACCCTAAACACCTGCTTTTGTCGAATGTTATTGAGAGAAGACCGGTGTTAGTTATTTGTTTTCCGGCCCGTTTAACTCCACAGCGATTTTAGCGCAAACCAAGCGAGGCAACGGACAGACGCTTTGTGTGGTGGTATACGTCAACCCGCTATCCCGGCGACTACCCACACAGTGCTGCGACAACATATTAGTTTTTTTTTTCTACCCAAATAAAATATAAGACATATCATCACATGCATCGTACGTTTTCGTTAATAAACACGGTTTATGTGGTAATTTGTTTACATTGTAATAAAAAAAAGCTTTAGTTTTTTTCCTTCAACTTGAAACAACACCAAAACGATTTCTGGAAAATAAAGCGATGGGGTGACGTGGAACCACCCAACTTGACAATAAAACAGTTGTAATAAACGGAAGTATTTTTTTTAAAGTACATGTAATTCACGTATGTGAGGTTCTGAAACCACCAGCAAATTAATATAATTATACCACGTAATTCCGCTTGCGCAATCGGTCACTTAGATGAAGATAAAGGCAAATTTCGGCAAGATAGGGTGTCCCGAAAGCACCCCTCTGGTGTTGCCCGAGAACAGCAACATATGTTGCATCGAAACAAAAAGAGAATGTTTTCTGGCGGACCGGGCTTCTTTGTTAGAATGTACATATACTATTCATTGTGTACTTTAGAGTCAATTAAATGTTCAATACCTCTTTATAGTGAAAAGAAAAAAATAACATAATTTTAAGACTTCAAAAACTGAAAGTAGATTTGTGTTGTTCTTCCTCTAAGAACGGTTCAATAATTTTAGCGTCATGCGGTAATTGTAACATGCGACTAAAAGTCGATTGTTGCTTCTTTTTTTTTTTACACACTTCGATATAAACGCAGTGCGCAATAGCCACCCGTTTGAAAATGTTACATAAGCGTGCTTTCACGGTGTTTGCCGGCGAAGGCGACTGGACCTGTCAGCTCTTTCTGGTTTATTGTGAGATAAATGTATCGATTATCCTGATACAATTGAGCACGGTCCTCCTTTCACCGAGTGGGCATCTGAAATTACCAGGGCACGCGTCAAACGTCAAAAACGACGCTGCTCCGAAAAATGAGATTCAACTACTTATTTACTTATCAAATTATTTTATTGCACATTAAAGCAAAATATTTGGTGGATTTAAACAGGTATTAGATATTAGCATGGTTTAGTAACTACAACAATTTGACAAAGTCTCGATAAATGAGAGGTTGTAGCTCACACTCTGGTCACAGTCCGTTGTTGACATAGAAATCGTGTAAGGCATTTCACACCGTACACTGGCATGCTGATTTCACTGCCATCATTCGTTGTATATTTTTAACCCCCTGGAAACAGTTGACTGTGAATTTCACATCGGTAAAACGCCCTATTAAATTAAAGGTGGTTAAATGGTCACAGAAAAGCATCATTTGCACTATATTCAAGTAAAAAGTTGAACCCGAGAAATCGACAAGTGTCCTCCGTAATATTTCAAGACGACTCGTTGTTTCAATCTGAAAATGTCAACTAATACAAAATCAAACTCTAGAATATCTTCTAGCTATTGGTATCACGTGACACATAATATTCAGATGCGATATGAGCAGAGGAAATCAAATCATTCAATCAAATGCAATGTTTTAACGATACAAGCATTATTACAAACGCTATTCACAGACGATTAATTGTTAAAACTTCTTCTCCATTGCTCACGTTTGATTGCAAGTGCACTTCATGACATATTTCTATACATCTTATTCGTGTATTTGTGTACATACAGGCCACAAACCGCTTGGACGCCGACCCCGTAAGCCAGGCGTCGACAGGAAACCAAGACAGGCGTATTCTTCCAAACAACTCGAGCGCCTTGAAGACGAATTCAAGAAGGACAAATACCTGAGTGTGAGCAAGAGACTTGAGTTATCAATGGCGCTTAATCTGACAGAAACACAGATAAAAACCTGGTTTCAAAATAGAAGGTAGGTTATCGTGTAAATATTGGTCAATATTGTAGTTGCGCTAAGAAATTATTATCTATCTTATCTGTGCGGTTTTTTTTCGTGGTATGTCCGTTTCAGGTTCATTTTGAAAAACAAAATAAGTATCATAAAGCCAATCTGTAGAATAATAAACCCGTGTATGTCGAAAATATTCTATTCTATTCTATTCTATTCTATTCTATTCTATTCTATTCTATTCTATTCTATTCTATTCTATTCTATTCTATTCTATTCTATTCTATTCTATTCATTTTATTCGTACTTTGTGTTAAATTGGCACACTTATCGACATAATACTACTAACTACAAGAATCATGCCGAGTCACTTACAGTGATAGCACTATTCTCAAACATAATTTACTTGTCCGGGCCCTAAAATACGCAGAAGTTCTTCAATAAATTACCGTGTGATTTCGAATTTATTTAATAAAAACTTTGGAAATATGAGAGTTACTACACGAGAAAAAAACAATATTACTCGGTCTCGACCGCACAGCTTTTTATCCTACCCGCACATGTTCGCTTCGCAGCTTTTACACGCCAAATACTACGAATCTTATTCGTAAAGGCTTCCACGACATGCGTTTCGATTGATTTGCATGTGAAAGAAAGATAACACTGACACATTTACGGATTCAGAGACACATTGGTAACATTTTTTGCTAAATTTTCAAAGTAATTACTCTACTCGTTTAGTAAACATCGATCGACATTGCATAGACACGCATTGTAGCCCACTGTGATCATATGAAACGAATAAGAACGAATATAAAGTAGTTTAAAAAAACACGCGGTATTTTGACTCATTAGGTGCACGTTGCTTTAAATGAGTCTATAGAAGACAGATGTTTAGCACTTTATTTTTCTCTTCATCTATTGTGTGATAGCATGTGTTCATTTACCCACCCCATACACTGATATAACTGAACCGGACCCTACTCGGATTCATCCATCGTTCGTTGTACTAGACTAAGTCTATCACGGCACGGCTGCGACGACAATGCGCCTCTTTTACTGAAACAACAGCAACAACAACAACAACAACAACAACAACAACAACAACAACAACAACAACAACAACATCATCATCATCATCATCATCAACAACAACAACAGAAACAAAGACAATAACACTAACAATGACGCCGACGACGACTACAATCCTAAATTAGATTTAACTATTTGTGAAATAATCTATAAATGTACCGTAGCCGAAGACGAAACACGTGTGCAGCGCGGTTGCGACCAAATGCCACGACTAACGGGATCGACTGACATCATCGGTTGATGCATGGCTTGTTGACATCTCTATCGACGCACGCACGCACGAATTCGGAATCAACGTTGTCATTTAACACTTGTCAAAAACACATTCGTATTGTATTCATATGAATTGCCATAGTAACGAACATTTATTATTTATGCGGCATTTTAGCTCGTTTGTATTCTAATGATTTAGAAACATATGTCAATTTGTCTCGCTTACACAAGATTAAATTAGATTTATTAAATTATGGCGACTACACGTTATTATTAGACCTAGAGTTAACTCGATCATCGCCATGGGTTTTTTGGCAGTATTGATTTCGATCGATGCCTGAACATGGTGAAAGGAATTACTATGTACATATCCATGACAACATTGTCAGATCATTTGAGTTCTAACTGGGCGACTGAAGTTATAGCCGGCGCCGGGAAAAAAATCATGGTGTACGAGGTTTTGCGATAATTTGGATAATGATAGCTGTCGAGAAATACCCTTACTGTTCTTGAAAATCATAATTTTTACATTTCGTAAACAGGTTTTGAGTTTAAAATACCGTGGCTGTACGTGGGGCACTACAACATATACTTAAAATTTGCGCCTGACAAAAATGGTATGATGATATGTTGAACATTGAGGATTTTGGTGCGAAGTGATTTTTTTATATGAACTTGGTGTATAGAGGAGTTTTAAAGTAGGAATATATCTGCGACACTTCGCCGAATATTCATACGCTGGGACAGACAGTTACACACTCGCTACAGAATACTTAGCGTGCACATAACTAAATAAATAATGGAGGGCGCTATCAATATCTAGTCTTCTTATACGTCAATTGAATCCCATCTCTGAGTAAGAGCTGACGTTTGCACATGTCGAGTAGCTCGATTATATTCAATAATACCCACAAAGGACCGTTTTATGGTTGGGCGCATTTGGTCATTTCTCTTCAATAATTGCTTTCCGTTGTTTGCAATAGGTGGGGTCAACAATTGGCGGGGACCCAGGGGTAAAATAACGTGCAATTGTATTAGGTTGGTTTTCATGTTTTGACTGGGATTCCATTCGAAGCGGAGCTACGTCGACATCTCCGATTACATCCATCCTTGTTCGGGGTTGCAGGTGTTTCCATCACTGCATGTTTTTTTAATAGAAAAAAAAATCGCTAAAAGACATGGTTGTATATTAGTCTATTAGCATGCCTATCGTTTGGGTTAAACATATCAATTCGGAGTTAAATCGATTTCTGCAGTGCATTTAGCAACTGACAGAATTAGAAAGTATACAGAATACTTTCACATTTCATAAATAAAAATGAGATTGTATTATCGATTCCACGTCGCCGTTAATACTTTTAACATATGCCTGTTTTCGTCCTCTCAAATATTTCGTTACTTTGGTAGGTTTATTTTTCGCGACCTTTTATTACAACACGTTTCGTACTCGGAATACAATTGTTGAAAAGAGCTTAAAATGCGTTTAAATATATCCATACTCCAAGTGATGTTTACCGTAGTAATTCACAATTAAAGCTGAATACACGGAACCGCGTGCCTGGCAATAAAACGTACTCGGGGTATTTATTAGTTAGTAGTAGTACTCTTGTTTGCAATGACTATCGTGATATATACCCTATTAAAAACACAGTGTTGATTTCACGGAGCACGCCGGGCTTGTTTATTCAGGTCCTCGGGTTGGTTTTCACTGTATGTTTCCACGTCCTATTTGCTATCGGATACTGCTTAGTAAATACACATTAAGTCCGGCAGGTTATCGAGATAACCGAATACTGATGTTTATATGGAATGCAGGCAAAATGCTTTTATCGTTTAATGATCGGGGGGTATCTCGACAAAGGCCCCATGTAAGAAACGAACATCAAATAGATCCGTTTTGGGTACAAATACCTCCCTCACCGTCAGTCAATCAAGATAAACCGATTTTATCTCATAGTCGGCTACTCCCGGTAATAGTATCCCGACAAGGACAGATTCGCATTGTTTTCCACGGAACTCACTAAGTGCCAAGTCCCTTAATGAGGCTGCACTCCGCCAACATATCTATCAGCATCATCAAAGTCCACCAATGAGGCTCCGCAGGCTCGCAAATTGCAAAAAAAAAAAAGTTGAAACACTTCAAAAATACAATTATCATTATTGTTTTCAAAAACGTGTCCTTTTATGAGCGAAGTGATGGGCGTAATATGTCCAGACAATGACTGAATGTAGGGGGACAACATTGGGGTTTGATCACGTGGCCAAACGTTTCATATTCTGAAGGCAATCTGTTCAAACATTGTCACATCACTGTGAGAGAATTCTAACGAGGACTATTGTACACGGAACGTAATACATGCAACACTTAGTGCTGCCATTATACTCTCGTTTCATGCATGGTGGCTGGTCACGTGACGAAGGGGTCCGATTACGCCACAATCTGTAAAATTATTTAAAAACCATATAAAGATATTGACGATTAAAACTGACAAATTTCGTTGAAACTCCGACAAAATTCGTTTTCGATGTATTATTTTATTTTGTTTAGTGTGTTGTTATAGACGCAGACGCTCAGTTAGATATTCGCAGTCCAATTATACCACAGAGAGAAACGGTTTAAACTCCGATAAAAATGTAACTGAAAACAATTTCGTTTTAATTAGTGACAACGTTGACCGTTAATTCCATGCAATTGTAGACTACGAGTCGAATGGCATTGTAATTAAGCTATCCATCACTTTGCAAGGAAAAAATCAATACAAAATGGAGCCGGCCCTCGTCACCACATATCAACCTTGTCCAAATTGTACACGCTTGGCCGGCGTTTTTTTTTTTTTGGAGGGGGGGCACAATACATTGTAGGAAATAGACATCGCCTCAAGGTACTGCGCGAGAATATAATAGTATGTAACTATAGTAACGTCACGGTGGCTAACTTTATTTTCAGAACAAAGTGGAAAAAACAGATGACAGCAAGGATGAAGATTGCCCAACGCCAAGGACTGTGGGCCAATCCGTTTTTACCATCGATGTACGGCGGCTACCCAGCACCAGCACCGACAGCAGCATACAGTGGCTACAGTACCTATCTGCCTGGACCAACCCACGTCCCCATAGAATTGGACTCGAGTGCTAATAACCCGGCAGACCAATTTATCTCCATAACGTGAGGTTAATTGAATTATGATGTACTGTGGCGGTCCCCTGTGAGGTGCTCATCACTCCACTTGTTTCCATCGTGTCTCCCCTGACATTACTCAAACCACCACTGACTATTGTATCCAATAACAATTATACTACACTCGGCGATTGTTTGCAAAATCAGAGGCGGTTGAAGATGGGTGAATAACAAATCGACTTGCTTAAAGCCCGTTCTCTTCAAAGACTGGTATATATTTTGTCTGTGGGGTTATATAGTGTTTTTTTTAGGCACATTTATTTAGTTGTAATTGTTGCAAAGGAACCGAGGGAAATGTAAATTATATGTGCGTGGAATTGGCAGCATTTTATTTAATTGTTGTCATTCGGAGTAAAGAGATTCAAAAGTCAGTGTTAGTAGAGAAGTCTGTGAAAGAGTCCCTAAATGGACGTTAAGAATACAGCTATATAAGAGCCCGGATGTAATACGAGATGTACAACGAAATGTATTTGTGAAGTCGGCGGGCCAGTTGCTGATGCGTGTGCCAGTGTCAGACAAAATTCTGTTTAAATGTAACGCGAGAAACAATACTATCGGCTTTGAATTTTTACAGATTTTTTTACAAGAATATATAAGAACTACATCCGACGTAATGTTCGGAAAATTTATCATACGGCCTTGTTTGAATGGGTCCCAGGGTTGGGGGTATTGATGAGACATAATGGGATAGCGATGCAGTCCGTGTCAGCGTGGGAGATGATAACGAACAGTTTCGAATCGTACATCATTCACCAGATTTAATAGTTTTTTTTGTTTATCTGTTCTGGTTCTCAAAACGTTGGCACGTCACCAATATTAAACAAGTTTATTATTGTACTTCAGTTATTCTTATCGGATATGTATTTATTATAACGTTCGTGTAATAAACGTTACAGATATATATAGCAATTCGTTTTTTTACTGGAGATAGTGTGTTTAAGGTAGAAGCCTACTCACAATTTTTGACAAAATTGGTCATAAATCGCATGACAATGTTCATTAGTTTATTATGTACAATCATGAAGCTAATGTCTCATGGTACAATGAAATAGCATTATTTTGTGTGTTACCGTTAAGCTTTTTGAGAAATGTGTCCTAATATTTCTTGAAAATTGCTATCTTTAAAACAATTCCATAGAACACAATGTTAAAGAAAAATTGCATTTTTTGACACTTTTTAAAACCCAGATATTTTAAATAATTCAGAACAACAAAAAGTACTCCATCATTAACAATATATGATTTTTTCAGCCTATGTCACCAGGCTAGATTTTGAGATATTCCGTAATATCTCTGCCATAGGAACATGTGGTAAAAGTGTTATAATAGTGTCAAAATGGCGACTTTCCACTAAAATACAACCATCAATTTCTCGAAAAAAAGGCTGGTGAACCCCAACTTTTTTTAGGTCAATATCCTTATATTACCTTGGAGTACATTTTATTGCAAAATGAATAAATTCTGGGTTTTTAAATTTATGAGTAGGCTTCTACCTTAAGGTCATTGATGTTCCCGGCTACCACACTTTTGGAACAGCGATTTAAAAAATATTTTCCGTGATTGACTGTTTAAAATTCCGAGGAAAAAAAACATCAACGGGGCGCACCAGAACCAGTTTTTGTATTATGAATATCACTTTTACCCATTATGTCAACTTTTCCGGTCCAAGAATGGTCTCCAAACTTTTGGTTTCAACGCTATTTCTCGGTGGCGGAACTACGTCACGGAACGTTCTATGTTGATAAGGCGTTGCTGTGACGCCGGTCGAAGAGCCGGTGAAAACAGCTCGAGAAAATACAAACTCAAATTTGAAGTAATCCTGAACAACCAAATTGATATATGTTGCACACGTACGGTTAATCTTGTTCGGGGAGTCTGGACAACTGTTACGATCGTTGTTTTCACCGGCGATGGTTGTCAGGCGATGAAAAATGCCCGGATTTTCGATCCCGAGAAGCCTTGAGAGGGAAATCATCGTTTTAATTCCCACATTTGTTAGCCGCGTCAATCGCGTAGCGTTTTGATGTCATTTAATATCATGTAGCATAAGGAATAGGTGATTTCCCGAGATCTCGCGTATTTCGCGAAAAGGCGCGTACCGAACATCTTTTATCAAACATCATCAAATGTGTATTATTAAAATTCTTTAAGATTTG